TGGGCGAGTATAAATAACTCGAAGACCAAACTCGTGATTGATCGGTAAAAATCCGACTGGGCGAGTATAAATAACTCGAAGACCAAACTCGTGATTAATCGGTAAAAATCCGACTGGGCGAGTATAAATAACTCATTAGACGTTGTAACTTGGTCATTTTCATCACCAAAAAGAGTCAGAACTTGGGCGATCATCCCATGTGATATTGAATTCTTAACTTGGATTATTTTTCAATGGTAATGCAGATCGGCATATGGACGACTGCCTTTTCAAATAATAACAGGAATTTTTTCATTCACTTTTTGAGGTCGGCGTATGAGATCGGCATGTGCGATCGGCGTATGGGCGATTGCCTTTTCAGATAATAACACTTAAGAATTTTGTCACTCATTTTTTAAGGTCGGCGTATGTAATCGGCGTGTAGGCGACTGCCTTTTCAAAATACAAGTTTTAACTAGAAAATTTTTCATTCATTGTTTTAATCGGAGTTTGGGCGATTGGTTTGCAAAAATTCAAGTTTTTCCACATGATGACTCATATAATATCTCGGTTTATTTCTGACATAGATCTAAGGAGTACTTGCTTAAGCCCTTTCGCCTTGTAGGCTAAGGGCTAGTGACTAATCTTCTCGCTACGTTGGAGGCACCTCAAAGAATGGGATAGCTGGCCCCAAGATTTAACGTGGTTGCATACACAAGACATCCAGAAAGTCATCTTAATTGCAATATCCAAAATATAATTCTAGAGTAGATTGCCTATTATTATTAAGTGTACCTTCTCCTATTCTTTCCATTAAAGCGCATCCTTTTTTCTTTTTGTTTTATTTTTTAAAAAATAAAAATTTCTATTTTTATTTTTTTATTTAGTTCTAATTCGAACTAAATTGAGTTATAAAAAAGTTCAAACATTTATATTATGGTCTATTGAAGGGTTTCATTTAGATAAGTTGGTTCTCTTATTAGTTTACTATATTAATTTGTTTATCTAAATAAAATGTGAGTGAAGGTTAATATTGTTAATGCAAAAAATTGAGAGAAAAATAATTTAGCCTTAAAAAAACACTTTAAGAGGTTATAATCAAATTTTTTAAATTAAATAAAGTAGAACTGGACTAAAAATTCACATTAGACCAAAATTAATTTTTAGCATATATAAAACCTAAAGTTGGATAATATCAATGCCATGTCAATTTCTTCTCATGATTATATCATTCGATTAAGCAAACTTTAGCTATTGTAATCATCTAATTAAATTGACTTTTCACATTTTATTTTATTTTGGTCCATTAAAATATGTAACATTGTCATATTAATTCGTATATTTTGTTTTGGTCCATTTACATTTTTAATATCTTATTTAAAATTTTCTTAATTTCAATTACTAATGTGACACTTCTGATTAAAATAATGGTTTACTCGTCCATCATTGGTTATATTGTAATGAGGCGAAAACTTTAAATACATATTTCAATTCAATATCCAATATTGATACAATAGATTGTGTGCAAACTCATACAACATTGGTCTTAAGATACAGGCGTGGCCAAATAAAGGGCTTTCAAATTGGAGTGATAACCTTATAACACAAGGAAGTGTATGGAATGAAGATTCTTACTATGGTGCTGGAATTGGCTTGTGAATTGACAGAGGTGGTTTCCTGAATAGGATATTTGAAGAAACTCAGGCTTAACAAACAGAATTAGTTTTGGTACACTCTTAAATCACAAAAATGGGAAAGGATTATGGGATAGGTTTAGAAACTGGAACAGGTGGAGGCGTTTTAACCATTGGGAATGGCTTTGGTATAGGTTTAATCATTGGAAAAGGTAAAGGTTTTTTCACTATTGGACATGGTTTTGGAACAGGCTTGAATACTGGGATAGGAATTGGTTTAACAATTGGAACAAACTTTGGTACAGGCTTAATTATTGGAATTGGTAAAGGTTTTTTAATTAAGGGGAGTGGCTTTGGGATAGGCTTGAACACCGGGATAGGAATTGGCTTGGGTATAGGTTTAATTACTGGGAAAGGTAGAGGCTTTTTCACTATTGGAAATGGCTTTGGGATAGGTTTGAATACTGGATTTGGAATTGGCTTGGGAACAGGCTTAGTTACTGGAATAGGTTGAGGCTTTTTCACTTTTGGAGTTGGTTTTGGGATGGGATTGGACACTGGAGCAGGATTTGGCTTGGGCTTAGTTTCTGGATTGGGTTGAGGCTTTTTCACTATTGGAATTGGCTTTGGGATGGGCTTGAAGAATGGAATAGGAATTGGTTTAGGAATGGGAAATGGCTTGGGTACAGGGATGATTATTGGAATTGGTAGAGGCTTTTTCACTATTGGAAATGGCTTTGGGATAGGCTTAAAGACTGGGATAGGAATTGGCTTGGGTATAGGTTTAATTACTGGGAAAGGTAGAGGCTTTTTCACTATTGGAAATGGCTTTGGGATAGGCTTAAAGACTGGGATAGGAATTGGCTTGGGTATAGGCTTAATTATTGGAAATGGTTTTGGGATAGGCTTGAACACTGGGATAGGAATTGGCTTGACAATTGGAACTGGTTTTGGTTCAGGCTTAGGTTGAGGCTTTTTCACTATTGGAGATGGCTTTGGATTTGGCTTAGCAATTGGAGTTGGCTCTGGTGTAGGCTTCTTAACCACTGGAGTAGGTGTAGGTTTTTTGGCTTCTGGACATGGCTTTGGCTTTTCCACTTTTGGATATGGCTTCTTAAACACTGGAACTGGGATAGGAACTGGCTTTGGTATTGGAATCCACTTTGGTATAGGCTTCTTGAAAACTGGGATAGGTAGAGGCTTTGGGAAAGGCTTAAACACTGGCACTGGCAAGGGCTTATAAATTGGAAATTTTGGTGGGAAAAAGGCTTTAAATTTTGCTTCTTCATTGTCATTATCTGTGCCTGTTAACTTTTTATCTGAGGTCTTGCTGTCAATGTTCACCTCAATTCCTGCACAAAATATTGAATATCATATTGTGTCAATAAATTGTCATGGATCAAGCTTAGAATGGAAATAAATCATGCATGTTGCTATGGTACAGTGCTACATAGATATGGTACTTATTTTGTACAATAAATATAGAAAAAGAAAATTATCTATATGCAAGTAGTTTCAAACCACCAACCTGTAGAGGCTTCAGTAGCAGTTACAGCTATAGAACTGGTGAAACAGAAGCATATAAGAAGCATCAGAGGCACCATTTGAAAAGTGGAATTATTCCCCATGGTGAAAACACCAAGGCCACACCACTCACCAAGGCGTGGCAATGAAACTTGAAGAGGGAAATATCTAGACTAAGGATTGAGATGCTCTGGCCTCATAAGATTTGTGTCTATATATAGTGGTTTTCTTTGCATTTTGGCCAGCTTAGGATTGAGTTACTTTTAGTTTTAGTGGCTCAGGTGCTATAACTTGTAGTTAATAGTATGAGGTTGTTGGTTAATTAGTGACCATTACAGTTAGTTGGGAATATGCATGTTAGTTTAGAGATCAATGGCTATTGGCACCGGCTTTGTTGCTGAGATGGGGATCTCATCAAATAAATGAACCTCCCCACTTGGCCTATTCTTTTCTTTTTGGTAATTATTGTTGGGACAGTATATTGAATCTCTATCAATATATATGGTTGATTGGGGTTAGTAATATTTGTAATGCTGTTATGAAACACATGCATGAAACCCAAATCATACATATTATGTTTTACATATTGCAGCCCAAGAAATTGAATCTCTATCAGGATGGAGAGTGATTATTTTACATATTATTCCAATTACCATTCTGCCACTGCACAATACACACGCTGGAGATGTCAATGATCTGGAAGTTCTTAACGTAGTTTTTTTTTTTAATTATGTTATTAATATAAAATATTTACTGATTTTATCAATTATTAATCTCAGTTGAAAAATCAAACTCACTATCTTCAATAAAGTTTCTCCTCTCAATTACATTTTCTTTTCATACTCGTAGTGTTTTCTCTTTCTCTACCCGAAACAAAAACCATCTATTATTTGTTTTGTTAGAATGTACACACTCCGTTAGGATATTTATATTAGGATATGCAATGGAGAACAAAACTATAAATATAAGTCATAAAACAAAGAAAAATGTGAGGAAACAGAATAATTTGTATTTGCTAGATGATTATATTATTCTGTATATTTTTCATTCATATATAAGACAAATACATAAAGATGATAGTCATATATCATATTTATAAATGTTATCGGTAAAACACATATACATATTATTATTAAGTGTATAAATTTGTCTAAAATCAAATATTTAATCAGATATTTTTCACATAAATAAGCAAACATAATTACAACAAAATTTTATCCATTAATATAAGTAACCACGATTAATTACAACTGTAATAAAAAGAAAAGAAATTTTTTATTGCTTTAACAATTTAAATCATAATTAACAATCACTTGTAATATAATTTTATAGCCAAATTACATATATTCCTATATGTAACTTAAAATTTACATGAGAAATATCAATGAGGTTAGGATTGTTATTACCAAGTGGGTAGTGACCAATCATAGTTTGAATTTAAGTTGAAAAGAAAAAAACTCAAATATAGTGTCTCATCATATTTTAAGTAAAATTACCTCTCACTGAAAATACATATAGATAACCAATAAAAAAAATCATGAAAAAATCAAAATTACTGGCAATATGCTAGTTAACAAATTTGCTTTTAATATTTTTAAAATATTTTTCACTTAAATTTATATTAATTTTATTATAATTTTTCCAGACACAATAAAATTATTCTAATAGCTTAATAAAAAAATAAAAAATCAAAATCAAAATCAAAATGAGCACTACAAAATAGAGATGTAAGTCAATAGGATTGGTCTAATATAAAAATCCTAGAGTTTGAGAGACTCTTTGAATAAAAAGAGGGTTTGGGGGTGGCAAAGGAAGAGGAAGAAGGCATGTGTAGCAAAAAGAATACATAATAGTCCATGTGACTTGGGCACAAGTGAGCCAACTTAATAAAAGCCAATTGGAAATTTATCATGTCTCGTATATGATTTGTTAGTTGATTAGCTAGGGTGACAAGCCGTGTAACCTCACTAATGATCTTCAAATTTAAAAGGAATTTTTTTTAATTTTAAGAATTTCAAGGACTAGATTGAGTGTTCAACAATTCTATTACTATACAAGAATTGAAATTACAATGACATTTAAAATACTATCACTGAGATTACAGCTGCCAGCATTTGGGAAATGTTTTTCCTGCTCACCTAAAAATAAAAAATTAAATATATTTTTAAATTTTTTAATATAAATTAAATTTATTTTTAATCCTTCAAATTTAAAATTATTTTTTTAGTCATGTAATGTGAAAAAGAAAAGGCTTATTTTAATTTCTTAATTCAAATATCATTGGTGAGTATGTAAAAATAAATAAAAATTATGAACTAAATCCAATAAAAATTGAAACATTAAGAAACAATATATTTAACTAAAAGTCTAAAACTAACATAATGATCCACAAACACATCTTACCCTTTTATGCATCTCTGAGATGGATTGATTCATAACTTGATTTCTGCAAAAATCAACTTGATCAGTCAGTTGGAAACTCAAAAAATAAAATGCTAGGAATCGAAGGTAACAATTATAAACTAATTAATTAAAGAATAGATAAACTAGAAAGAAAATGATAAAAAGTAGCAAAGCAAATATATTAGCATTAACACTCCAGTCATAAAAACAACAACGTAGGACACAGTAACAAACAACTTATGGCCCCTTCTATGCAGGCTCTTGTATACATCTCAAATGATGAAGAGTAATTCTTTTCCCAATCACCTAATTGCTTCATCTGCTAGTTCTCATGAGGGGCAACATGTTCATGCAAAGGAGTGTAATGCGGCAAGGAAAAGTCAGCTACAATTCAAGTTATCAGTCATTTGAACACTTCTTTTCTCCCCCAAAGAAATAAGTCAAAAGATAAATCACGGTCTATTTGAAATTATTAATTTGTACGGTCATTTTGAGTGTTTAAAAAGCCATATATCCTATAAGTTTTCATGTTTACGATTGCCACATAAGCAGTAAAGTCCTAAGTGACAACAATTGCTCAACAAAGTGCTTACCTTCTATGCTTTTTATTAACTATTAAACCAGTGAAATACATGATCCCTTAGTAAAAATTTTAGTAACTTTTGAAGATATATTTCAAATTACACGAGTTAAGTGTATAATATTTTCAAACTCAGTTCATGCATAACCAAGAAACATTTTATCTTTAATGTGTTAGACATTTATATAACTGATGTGTTGAACATTGTATATTAATACTAAACTCGTAATAAATCCCGACAATATAAAATATCCAAACATTTTATGATGGGTAAATACCTACCACAAAAAGTACACTTTTTATGGTGGATGAGTTAACAGATGCCGTAGTATGAGTGTCAAATGTAGTCTTTTAACATATTTGACACCAACATTCTATATCATGTGAGGGTACACCTATCATGAAATGTGCATTTTCTATAATAGATGTGACCTCACAAAACATAAAAGGTTCCACATTCTATGATGGGTGAAGCTTTTAGGTTAAAAAATGATCTTAGATTTCTCAAACTTTAAGTTTTAACGATAACAAATATAGATATTTTTCTAGTAAAAAACTTTTAGATCAATCAATAAGACGAAATGGAATAAGATGATTTGTAACATAATTAGTTATCTTAATAGTAAGTCTAATAGATGAAGCACTTCATCTGTAACACGTTTTATTTGAATTCATATCATTTATGATGTCTAATAATGAAATCAATCTTTGTTCACATGATTCCCTAACAAATCAAAATGAAAAAGCTTTTTCGATACTCAAAAATAACAAAAGGAACAATAGACATGTTTTGCATTAGAAAAGGATGAGTAAATCCTTTAAATCACAAAATTCCTCAAAAAAGCTACTTTGGCCTGACACACACATGGCTTCACTCATTCCGTATCTAAAAAGTGATAAATAACTTATTTGATTATATAAGAAGTAACAACTTTGGTAAAACCTATTTAATGCAAGCAATTAATGCACCAACGTACGCTTCACCCCACAAGGAGCGAAAATAAAGACACACGAAACAAGCCAATGAGAGAAATTCAAGGATTTGTAACAATTATCTTCATTAAACCACCTATATAAAGAAGTTTGAAAATTCAAAAATTAATAACAAAACACAACATAGAGAACAATTTGTAAAAATCTATTCTTTTTGTTAATAAGTTTTGTACTTATTTGGTTGTATTACATCTTGATAGTAAAACGAAAAAAATACTATCATCTTATCTAACTTTAACTTAGTGTTATTGTATTGAGCCTTGAGAGCCTTGACTATCAAAGAATATTTGATTGTTTGAATTGTGAAGAGGTTTGACTGCAAAAGAATACTTGGTTCTTTGAAAAAGATAGAGAAACTTGATCGAGTTAATCAAGAATTGAACGTAGTTTCGATAGTTGAGACGAACCAATGTAAAAATACCTTGTATTATTCTTTCTTATCTCTTCAATTGCACTCCTAAAGTTAAGATACTACTTCGCTATTTGAAAAAGTGTGAGTTTTTATTGATACTATTTAGCCCTCTTTCTAGTGTGTCTCTTTTCTACACAGAGGCCTTACCTACCATAAAAAGTTACACTCACTCATCATAGAATGTGAGTGTTTTTTTTTAATATTTTGTTTTTTTTTTTCTAAACTTGTAAACACTACAAAAAAAAAGTCAATTTAGCGACCAAATTATAGCGACATAATTAGTTGCAATTTTTATTTAGCGACCGAATATTTTCAGTAGCAATTTTCGATCGCTAATTTCGTCGCTATTCAATTTGTAAATTACATTTTCTTTTAACGACCGAATTGTATGTAAATTTGCAACCGAATATTTTTAGTAGCAATTTTCGGTCGCTAATTCCATCGTATTCAGTTTGTAAATTACATATCCTTTAGCAACGAATAGAGACCGAATTGTATGTAAATTTGCGACCGAATTAGTTTCGGTGGCTAAATTAGCAACGAAAAAATTTTGGTCGCTAAAAACAATACAAAAGTATTATTTATAATAATGGTAGCGACCAAATAAAAATCGATCGCTAAATGTAAATTTTTAAAAAAAATTTAAGAATGTAATTTTTTAAAAAAGAAAGCAAATATAAAAATATGTAATATTATTTTTATAATGATAAAAAAAATAATGATAAGAAATAAAAATCATGACCCTTCCAATAAAATAATTTTATTTTTTAAAATAGTACATATTATATAATTTAAAATAGATAATATATGATAATGTATTAAAAACTGAGAAACACATGATGCTATAAAAGAAATTAAAATATTAATTTTTTTAATTGAATCTTTTAAAAAATGTAAACTAATTTGAATAATAATTTATCTATCAAATTTATTTATTTTTCTCTTTAGAAATTTATTTCTCTTTTATCATACTTAATATTTTATTTTATTAGATAATATGAAAATACACAATTTATTGTGCCTTCCAATTTTGTTAAGGTAAAAAAACTTCATTTTAATTTGTAAATCTTAATTTATTTCAATTATTATTTTAAAAATTAGACTTAAACATCTAGTTCAGTTGATATAAACGTGTTAAACATTCACCAAAAAAGATACTTTTAATTAAAATATTTTTTTTAGTTTTATTAATTCATTGTCATCCTCTCAATTGATTAAAAAGTGATAAAATATAATTAATGTTCAATTAGTTTCATAAATAAAAATTATAAAATAATTTATATATATATATATATAT